GAGTGTTTACAGTCCGATCTTTATGAATTTTGCAGGGATCTAATATGGCATATAACAGTGTGTACATACCAAAGCACAAGGCTGTACCTTAAAGAATAGAGGTTTTTCAAGTTTCTGATGAAATGTGGACAGGTATCCAAAAAGTGAAATATTTGTATGCTGCACATACTATAAGCAAACCTACATACCAAATTTGGTGTAAATATCTTTTATAATCCTCGAGTTATGCATAAAAAAAGCAAGTGTCAAAATCGATATTTATCGAAATTTTGAAATGGGGATGCGATGTCAAGAAAAAAAGAAATATATATTTCAGATTTCAACTCTCTAGCTTTTGTAGTTTCCGAGAGCGACAAGCTAGATCCAGATCTAGATCAGAAAGGTTTATTCTAAATGTGTGTATATATTCGGAGTTTCTTCCTACAGCCAGTAACATACACTAGCAAGGAACCATTATGCCCGCCTTTCGCTTTTTCAATGGGTTTAGGGTCAAAAATGAATTCCCCTTTATTTATTGCGCTTTGCTCATTTCCTAAACAATTTAACAATTATGCGCGCAAAATATTAATTAAAAGCCACTTGCCAGCGCATATATCTATGCAACTGAGTATCTATGTAACTCACGGATGCGTAACCACTAAATAAACGCGCTTAACATAAATCCGAAAATTCACAAAAAAAAAAGTTTTTGTTTCAGTTGTTTTTCGAGTGCTGCGAAAATAATGAATAGAAAAATGTGCGGTCGCTCGGAAAATTAATTGTAATGCATTAAAAGTGCAATTGTTAAATTATTCGCATTTCCCCCAAACCCTGCCAAAAAAAATTAAACTGCAATAAAAACAAGCAAAAACACAAAAACTCTATAAAATTTAACAAATTGCAAAACATTTTGAACAAAACATATGTGTGTGCAAATTGTTAAGTACTTTGTGGGTGGGGGAGAGGGGGCGTGGCACTTAGAGTGGGCGTGGCAAGTAATGCGTGTGTTAAACATTAGTCAACAAGATGCAAGAGCTAGCTGTGGGTAAGCCGAAGATCAGATATTCTTCCAGCTAAAGCACGGAAGAAACAGATAGTGGGCACTACTTTTTAATGTTCTTTATACCCTTGTAGTGGGTAATATAGCTATTTTATGAAATGTGTAACGCATAGAAGGAGACATCTTCAATCTCATAAAGTATATATATCCTAGACCAGCATCAAAGACGAGTCGATATAGCCATGTCCGTCTGTTTGTTACTATGCGAACTAGTCTCTTAGCTCTCAGTCCCTCAGAAACTTTGCATAGCTCTGTCTTTGTGCTGCAGTCAGGATCTGATAACTAACGATCGGTCGAAAAGTAAGTTCTTGTGTGGCCAAATATTCTGTTTCTCCAAGATATTTTCATTAAACTCAGCAAGGGTATACAAACAAGAACTAGTAAACATAATAATTTGAATAAAATGATATACAACACTATAAAAGTACATTTTAGTAGTGAATATTTCAAAATATGAAATGACATACAATAAACATTAATAACAGTGTCTAATGGGCAGAGCAAATATTTATAAAAAAAAAACATTATTGATTAAAAACTAAACAAAAAATAGAGGATTAGTGGTGGTATGGGGGGGGGGGGGGGGGAGTTTGTTTGCAATGGAATTTCGGTTTATCAACAATCAAATGTCATATTTTGTATTTATTGAATGATTCATTTGATTTGTTGCTGATAGTCGAGAGGCTCAAACGTTGACTCACATGGAGCAAGCACATTTGTTTATTAGATAGGCCAGCAAGTGGTATTAGTAACACGTTTGTGGACTAAAGTGTACAATAAGTCCATTAAGAGCAGCGCCTAACAGTTGTTGTAAAAGTTTCTGTTTGAGTTAACAAGCGCCAATTAAACTTTAATCTCTTTTAAAAGTAAGCTCTTATTTAGCTGGCACTAAAAAGCAACTAATGCATTTTGCTATCACACAAATATATATGCATATATATTAAAGTAAACCTAACCAAAATTCGAATAACTTAACTAATCATAATAAAGCTTTCAATTTTATATAAAAAACTAATTTTTTTTATTACTTATAAACAATCAAAATACAATTTGTTTTACAAAATAATACTTTAGTTGCGGCCCTTACATTTTCTTTGTCCTATTTATCTTCTTCTTTCACTCATATTTATTTTTTTTGTTCATTTCCAACAACTCTGGTAAATACAACGCACAAAAATCCGCATCATCAACGTGTTTGCGTTTCAGTTGTGTGAAAATAGTTTTTGTGTCAGATTTTGTGCGAGTTTTTTGATAGGTTTTGATAAATGTTTAAAAGCTTACGAAACATGACTAGAAGTAGTTGATAGAATTATAGTAGTTAGTATAGACTATATTTAATGCATTTCGTACTGATCGGTAAGCTTTGTCGATTGCAGCCAATGTGCTCTGTAAGCGAAGCGTTTGCAATTTGGCTTGGTGCAATTTATTACTCTTTTTTTTTGTTTTTGTCATTTTGTCTGTTTTTTGGCTACAAAAATATTTTACATACAATACTTTTTTGAGGCTCAAATGCGCCTAACTGATAACTGATGCACGTCAAGTGCCTATGCATGTATGTATGTAGGTGTATATATCTAAATATACATATATATTTCTATATATATGTGTGTCCATATGTAAATGTATATGTATAGGCTTGTGAATGTATATATGCATGTATAAATAGAATTTGGTTAATCTCAATAATTAGGCCACTTTAAAGGGTTCGCCTTCACCAGCGATTAATGTAGAACTGATTGATGCCCATCACATGCTTCTCCTCATGATACTTTTGCAGGATATGTGTGATAACAGAGGTGGTATCATTATCGCCGCGCCACACACGTATCGCATTCTCGTTCTCCAGTATGGCCAAAAAGGCTGGGCAATGAAAAAGAGAGATTAGATTGATACAATGGGAAATATTTTAAACTTAAGTATAATTGAGAAAAGTAACAGACTTAGAGAGTAAATATATATGTATGAAATATATATATGTATGAGTAAATCGGAATCAATATATATGTCTATTTCTATAAGATAAAGCTTAGACCCTAATAATGAATCGGAATCAAGAGATCTGTCTATTTCTATCAGAAATAAGATGTAACTTGGAACCTAATTCATAGTAGGAATAAATAAGTCTGTCTATTTATATTAGATATAATATATGATTTAGTACATAATTGAAACCAAGACGTCTACCTATTTCTACAAGATATAAGATATAGCTTAGGAACTAAATCGTAAGCAGACATTAGCAGTAAAAAAGTCGATAAGAAACATTGCTTTGCATAAACCTACAATAACGTACATTTCATATTAACCTATATATATACTGGTCTATATCTAATTTACATTAACGTTTATATATATATATATCTATACCTATATCTCTAATATAACTCTAAAACTCTACATATAACTCTAAAAATCTTAAAGATTATAGAAATATTTCCTAATTAATTATAATATTTCATAACTACCCTCAAAACTAGTAGTATTTTAAATTGATTTTACAATTATATAGCATTATATTATAAGCTTCGTTAGATCTATTCGTTATAAATTCATTTCAAATATAGACCTGCAACTTGCTAATCTCTTAACCTAGTTATATGCCTTGTTAAACTATAAATCTATAGAGTCTGTACGTACCCAAAAAGGTTTTTGGATTGCTGAGCGTCAATTGCACTTGAGGCATTTCGAGTATTACTTTAAGAATTGGTGAATCTGGTGCCAGACCCTCCCTTAACTCAATCACGCTAGCCGAACGATTCTCGCAGAGCCAGTCACAGGCGGAGGCCTTGTTGTTGCCCGTTTTCTTAAGCGCCGATAGGACGGCAGCCTCTTCAAAGCCCATTTCGGTAAGCGATTCGACAATCTCATCACTTGGCGGCGCATCGCGATGACTGTAAATCCGCACAATTTGCAAAAGAGCCGCGGTATTCTCAATGGTTTCCTAAAGAGAAACGTGTTATAAACATATATAGTTCCATACGGCAATTATATAGCTACATTATCGGTGACAATGGTTGAGGGTGAAATGGAGGAGGCGCTTTGCTGCATATTCATCGCCGGTGACGGCTGCGTTGGCTGCAGTGCATCATCGTCTCGTTGATTCTGTATGAGCCACTCCAATGTAGTTGAGTAGATGCCGTTGTTAGAGCGCAGAGCCTGGGCGGACACCTCGCGTGTGAAGCCCATGTCAACGAGGCACTGCAGCGTGTCCGCCTGATGATTACGCCTATTGACCAAACGCTGCTTCAGCATACTAATCAAACGTGGCGCATACGGGCCGGCGCCAATTATCGCTGCCGAGGCCTGAGCCAGTGAAATGAGCACCTTGCGCACATCGTATTGTATCTGGGAGCAAAAAAATACATTAGGCATGAATTGAAAGGATGGAACTGTTGCTTAGCAGCCCTCACATTTGACTGCTGAAATATCTCATTGATGTCTATGATGGGCAACGTGTTGGTGTTGCTGTGCACAAACCGTGTGGCGCTCTCCAGCAGGGCATCGTTGGGGCCCGGCACCTCGCGGGTGCGCGTCACTGTGTGCGAGAGCGTATTGCGGCGTGGCGACAATATAAACGTCTCATTGTTTCGCACATGGAGCTGGGCAAGCGTCTGGGACTCGTTGAGTTCGCCGCCAAAGTACTCGGCACGATAGAGACGATAACGCGGATTCAAATGCCGCACATCGGGTGCAAACAGCTGTATGGAATCGGGATCATCACTCAGTTCCAGAATGACCTCACTTTTTAGATCGTTCAGGCGCTTATTCATGTCTGTCTGAAAGATGAGCACTCGGGAGCTGGGACAAATAACGCGCACGGTGATTGTTTCGCCAGTTTTGGCCATATCCTCATCCGGCACAACCGTTGATGAAGTTGTTGCGAGCCTTGCATGGTTTTTTCTGTCAAAAGTGAATTAAGTTTGGGTTAAATGCAACGATTCCAATGCAGCTGAAAACTCACCTGAGAAACAAACTGCGCAATTTTTGCATAGTTTGTTTATTTTTGGATGGGTTGAACGGATTGGTAGGGATTTTAGGTGTGGGGTGCGTAAATCCAACAGAGAATTTCGAAAGGAAAAGTAGAAAAAAAAACAGTTAACACTAATAACTATTGACTTGGCAACTTACGCATTCGCCTGCTCCGCTTTCCTTGCTTTTTCCTGCTGCAACTGCAGCTCCAATTGGATACGTCGCCTGCGCGCCGGTGAGGGGGTGCGCAAAACGCAACCGCCGCTGCCGCCAATGAGATCCGTTTGCGTTTCCGTTTCCGCTGTCTGCACAGGCACCGAACTGCTGGAGGCGCCGCTGCGCAAGCTAAGTCTGCTGCCCTCATCGCTGCCGCTGGCGCTGCTCGCTGTGCGTGGGCTGGTGGCACTGGAGTTGGGCTCGGTTTCGCTGCCCCGTTGCTTGCTGCGTGCTAACCACTTGGCGCGCTTCTCGTTGAATTTCTCGCGCATCCAGGGTATCATATTGTGGCTGCCATTAAGTGCGTTTTGTCTGTTTTTACATTGTGTTTCGGTTTTTGCACAGTTTTCCCAATTCACCAAAATACAAATAAAGTGCACAGCTGTTTGCAGCGTTGCCACATCGGCCGACTTGTTGTGGAACCCAAAATATCAAAACTGCCACTGCAGCTAAATTCCACAAAAGGCAGTCCAAGACCATTATATGTGTAATAAAAAATATATATATTTAATTAAAAACTTAAGCTTCTAATTTAAATATGCCTTCAGCTATTGGCGCCATTGTGCATGCAAACAACAAAAATTCATATTTACGATAACAAACATTTGAAATTTGTGGATTGTGTGTAGTGGTACCAACGCGTGCGTGTGAATGGCCAGCGATATAATCGGCAAAGCAACTCTGCATTTTTTGGCTTCTCTTTTATTATCCACACACATTCGTGTCGGTCGTTGCGGTTCTTGGCATAGTCATTTGTAGAACGCGCAAATCAAACTGTAAAAGGGAAACCGAAAATGTCGAATACACACTAGAAGCAGAAAAAATCCAACGCAATTTCATCAATGCAGCGCGCGCGTCCATCATACATATGTATTAATTATTAAATGAAAAGTGATTTTTGTTGTACATGGCGTGCGTCAGTCAGCGAAAGAGCCAGAGTCACGTAGCATAAAAAAGAAGCAGGCCATCAAAAGAAAAAGTTACATGTGGGTATAGTGGCGAATATGATTTGAAAGAGATGAGCATAAAGAAGACATCGCGCGACAACGAAGACGACGATTAAAACACACACAAAGCGCGACACAAATAACAAATACAAAAAAAAAGCAGAAAAATAGTGCTTGAAAAAAGCCGGAACGACACAAATGAATGGGCCTCAACACTCGTACGCTGCCAAACTACATATATACATGTGCACACATATGCATACAAAACACACGCATACACTTGCGCCAACAACACCACCACCACCACAATTACAACACAATAACAACAAGAGCAACATACACATAACGCAACATCAATTTGTTTGAAATCAAAAACTTGGCCCAACTACAATAAAACAGCAAGAAGCGCAGGTAAGCGGCAGTAAACATAAGTTTTTAGCAGCAAAACCGCAAATAAAAGTTCCTAACGCAGCGCAATTTTTTCGTTTGTGTGTGTATGTGTGTGCATGAGTTTTTTTTCGGCTGTCATATACCTGTGTTTGTGTGTGTGGGTGTCTATCTCTGATTTCTGATTCCGTTTTGATTTGCTTTTACGTTTGCTTTTTGTTTATGTTTGTAATATGTCGACAATTAGCTTGCACTTTTGCCATCTCTTAATAAAAAATAAATGATATCTACGCATTTGTTTATATGAGCGAGCAGCAACAACAACCAGAGAAAAGCTCTCACTCGCGCGTTCATGAGTGTGGCCAGCTCTGCGTGCAGGCAGTGTTGCTGCGCTCAGCTATTTTTTCATTTACCGCAATCAGCTTATTTTGCGCTCATGTTTCGGTTAATTAGAGTAGAATTAAGTAAATATGTATGGAAATGTGAAGCAACATTATCTCTTTGTCGCAAAACTCTAATACATATATAATGTATGTTATAAATTACCTAAATTCAATCTCAGAAGCATTTCAAAATACTTAACTAAAATGAATGAATTCAAAAACAAACCCCTTTTATTTTTGCTTACCCGTTTTTATAGCTTTTTTTTTTTGAACAGCTAAATAGTTTTTATGGCTTTTCTTTTATTAGTTCTCAACGGCCGCAGCACTAACAGAATTTGCTAAAGCTGTTTGTGCTTTGGACTTTTTAGTTTGTTTGTTTATATTGTTGTTGTTTTTGTTGATTCTTATGGCCAAATATCTTATCGCATAGAAAAAATTGCATTGTGGCAGAGAAAGAGCCGTAAAACCAATGTTGAAATTGCCGGAAGACATATTTTTTGATGGATATTTTGTGCTTGGAAAAAAGTTGAGCGAATTTTAATGCAATTTGTTTATATTTTGTTTTGTTTTTGTTTAAATTTCAGCATTTTAGTATTGTGCGCAGCGCTAGCGGGCTACATATGTAATTCCATTTATTGCTACAAAAGCAACAACTGCAACTGCAACCGCAGCAGGCAACTTAAATTTTAAGATTATAAACAAACAACAAAAAACCAGCTAATTGTAAGACTTTAGTTAGGTGAGTAACAAATGCTTAACTGATGCCCCTATGAACACAGCGTAATTAAGTTTAAATAATTACAGTAATTAAGCATAGTAACAGCATGTGGAATTCCGAACCAACACATCGCCAGCAGCAGCAGCAGCAACAACAGCAGCAGCAACAACAACAACAACAATATAATGGCAACACTACCTCGGCGGGGGTCGGCGGGCAGCCTGCCAAACAATTGGGCATGACATCGGCCATTAGCCTGGCCGAGCCTCGTGCCGAGGATCTGCAGCGCACAGAGGAGCTTAGCAAATCTCTGGAGCCGTACAATGTCTTTGAGAGCCAGGATGAGCTGAATCATCGCATGGAAATATTGGCCAAGCTGAATACGCTGGTCAAGCAGTGGGTCAAGGAGATATCCGTTAGCAAGAATATGCCCGAGGCGGCCGCCGAGAAATTGGGCGGCAAAATCTACACATTCGGCTCATATCGCCTTGGCGTGCATCATAAGGGGGCGGATATCGATGCGCTGTGCGTGGCGCCGCGTAATATTGAGCGTACCGATTATTTTCAGAGCTTCTTTGAGGTCTTGAAGAAACAGCCCGAGGTCACCGAATGCCGTTCCGTCGAGGAAGCTTTCGTGCCGGTCATCAAAATGAATTTCGATGGCATCGAAATTGATTTACTATTTGCGCGGCTTTCGCTCAAGGAAATACCCGATGATTTTGATCTGCGCGATGATAATCTGCTCAAGAATCTGGATCCTCGTTCGGTGCGAAGCCTGAACGGCTGTCGTGTCACCGACGAGATACTAGCCCTGGTGCCCAATATTGAGAACTTTCGCCTGGCGTTGCGCACCATCAAATTGTGGGCAAAGAGTGAGTTGTGGCATATATTATATAGACATATTTATATTGATTGATCCACGCTTATTCCCAGAGCATGGCATCTATTCAAATTCGCTGGGCTATTTTGGCGGCGTCACCTGGGCTATGCTGGTGGCACGCACGTGCCAGCTGTATCCAAATGCTGCCGCCGCAACGCTGGTGCATAAGTTCTTTTTGGTCTTCTCACGCTGGAAGTGGCCCAATCCGGTATTGCTTAAGCATCCCGATAATGTCAATCTACGATTTCAGGTATGTTTGTGTGTGTCTCAGCAGAAAAATATGTCAGCTAAACTCGTTCTACCGTATTGTTTATTTTTAGGTCTGGGATCCGCGTGTTAATGCCTCGGATCGTTATCATTTGATGCCGATTATAACGCCCGCATATCCACAACAAAACTCCACATTCAATGTGTCCGAGTCAACAAAGAAGGTCATATTGACCGAATTCAATCGCGGCATGAGCATCACGGATGAGATCATGCTCGGTCGCGTCAGTTGGGATCGCCTTTTCGAGGCGCCCAGTTTCTTTTACAGATATCGTCATTTTATCGTACTGCTCGTCAACTCACAGACAGCCGACGATCATTTGGAATGGTGCGGTCTGGTCGAGTCCAAGGTGCGCCTGCTCATTGGCAATCTGGAGCGGAATCCGCACATTGTCCTGGCCCATGTCAATCCAAAATGCTTTGAGCTGAAAAAGGGCGCTGCTAGCGCTAACAATTCGCAGAATAACAGCGGCAATGAGGAAGATTTGAAGCAGCAGCAGCAGCAGCCGGCACAAACCGGCGTCACCACGGCACCGTTCTGTTCGCTTTGGTTTATTGGCCTGGAGTTCGAGCGTTCCGAGAACCTCAACATTGACCTCACCGAGAGCATACAAAACTTTACAGAGCATGTGATTATGCATGGCGTAAGCAACAGTTGACCAAGTTCTTGTATATACCATATTTTAATACAAACATCATTGACCATTTCCAGTTGAACATCAAAATGCTGAAGGAGGGCATGGCCATTGATGCGCGCCATTTGAAGCGCAAACAGCTGTCGCTCTACCTGGACGCAGACTTTCTCAAGCGCGAACGCAAGTCCATGGAAAGTCACAACAATTTCAACAATACGTTGCTGGCGAATCGCAAGCGTCTGTCCTCGGAGCTGGCGCAATCACAGGATCCGCTGCCGCCGGTTCAACAAACGGCAAGCAGCAATCGTGGACGCGACAGCGGAGGTGTTAAGAGGCAACGTTTGAGTGAATCGGTAAATTTTAATTAAAAAGATTTATATATTAAATATATTAATTTATGTTTAACCAATTTCTCTGCAGCTCATTGAGGACAATTCGAATGCCTCTAGCGATACGGGCGGCATGACGCCGACCACACCCACAGCGGCGCAAATGAATGCGCCCAGTTTCAAGGCAACGAGCAAGAATGGCTCGGATAGCAGCAACTGTGTGGACAACACGGAGCAGGCAGCAGCAGCAGCGTCCGTGCCGCATAATAATGGCAGCAGCAGCAACAACAATGCTAGCAGCAACAATAACAACAACAGCAGCACGACGACAGCTGAGGTAGCCTGCTCGTGACAACCGCCAATGCCACAAGCACAGCATCAGCAGCAGCATCAGCAGCCACAGCAGCCACAACAGCAACAGCAGCCGCCGTCGCTGCCGCCACCGCCACCGTCTCATCATCATCATAAATTTCGCAAGAACAACAATGCGGCCGCGGCGGCTGCCTCCAATAGCATTTTTAACCAGCGTTCAATACTGCATGCGGCTTCTAGTCTTACGGCCGCTCTAAGCATAACGGGACACAAGCGCAAGCAGCCAGCAACAACAACAACAACAACAGCAGCAGGAGCAGCAACAACAACAGTTGTTGCCAGCAACAGTAGTAAAAATGGCAGCGGCAACAACACAACTACTTTATGCTACTACATTGATGACGATGATGATAACAACCAACAGCATCAGCAGCAACTGCAACAGCAACCACCTACCACCCAAAAACCACAACAGAAACAACCACAACAGCAACAACAACAACCAGCGCATGTCGCTGCTGCTAGAGCCATGCCAGCAACAGCAGCAACAACAACAACTGCAGCAGCAGCCGCAACAGCGGCAACGACAATTTCTTGTAAGTTATTTAAATGTCTTTCATTATCCTCCGTATTTCTGTATTTGTAAATGTGACGCACAAGACTGTTTTTTCTCTATAAGAAACAAAAACTATTTCTACGCTTAAACAACAAAACGCATTCATTAGCTAATAAAACTACACGATACCTGGCAAAAGTAAGGAAAAAAGAAATCGATTTCAATTTCAAGCAATAGATTTTAAAATGGTTTCAGACAACATTTATTCAAGCTTTTCTTAATAAATAAAATTAATGAGTAAATAAAAAAAAGAAACAAAAATAAATAATAAAATATGTTTGGTATTTTTATTTAACAAAATTTCAAATATTTGTGTTTTATAAATATATGTGTGCCTGATAGTTTTTCGTTTTTACAACTTTTTCTAAACAATATTTAGAATAAATAAATGTATACTTGAAAATTTCAATGAATTTAATTGTCTTAGTATTAAAAACTGTATATTTAACTGTGTATTTATCTGATGAAATGATGTTCGTTTTATATTTGCAGTGTAAAAAGCTATTACATGTACCATTAAGGCTTAGTTTTCATAGTTAACCTACCCATTGATTTTCCCTGGCATTTTGATGTCACAAAACTGAATGGAAGCCCCTATATTTTATACAAAACGGTAAGTTTTAAACAAACTTAGTCGTTACACAAAATACTGGCTAATATGTTTGTTTTTTATTAGGTTTCCATTTTAAAGCTGAAGAGTTTTGTTTTTACTTTTAGCCCTCAACGCAAGTGCGTTGGGCATATGCATACATACCATAGAAAACGGACAACAACAACAACAACATCTACATGACTAAAACATCAACAACAACAACAACTTTTGAGGCGGCACGAAGAAAGCATTTCGCTTACATTTGTCTTAGTGTTTTCTCCCAATAATATTGTTGTACATCTTTTTTACTTCCCACAGCTGGAGTATGGAGAAGTGCCTAGAGCAGAGAGAGAGAGAGAGAGAGAGAGTGTGTGTATGAAAGGGAGAGACAGCTGATGGCACACAACAACAACATCAACAACAAAATGAATGAAACAAAGAAACAAAACAACAACAAGATCTGCAACAAGATCAGATCCTATTTGTGAATTTAGAGTCAACTCGACTATATTCTATATCTTTTTTTGATTTCCAATTTCACCTTGTTTTTTCAATCTTTGTTTTCTTCTTCTTCTAGTTGTACGCTGAAAATTTGAAACAATTATGTTCGTTTTTCTAAGAAATGATAACTGAAAAAAGGTAATAACAAAAAATATATAATTGAAATGAAGATATTGATTTAATTTTACCAAATAAACAAACAAAAAAAGCAACAAAAAATGCATAGCGAAAGCTCCAAAAAAAATCTGGTGTTTTTATTTATTGATGGAAATTGCTGTGGGCGGCTGTTTGAGGTTCTACAAAGGAAGGTTCCCATTTGTTAAGGATACGAAAGATATTGCTTAGAGATTTTTTTAGGCATTATTCAGTTTGGAGAGGTGAAAGACCTGATATGGAATATTCTACAGCATAAAGTTGTAGATAACACTTTTTTTGTCTATAAAGAGAAATAACTTGAAGGCTGTTTAATATCATGTTTATACGATCCGACAGTTCAATATTCCAACCTTACTCCTTATTCCAACTACAATTAAAATTGTAAAGGTGGATATGGACTTGAAGGATAACTAAGGAGAAATGAAGATTCGCTCAGTTTCACTCGAAATTAATACTCGAGAACCGCGTATGAGTATTATAAGGAATTTCGAAACACAAAGTTCTTTTTATTTTAATTATTATTATTATTAATATTATCACAATTATTTTAAGATCTAATTATTATGATACAATAAGGTTAGGGTTATAGTTATAAAATATCAATTTTAAATATTTATTAAATACCTCTAGGGATTTGGTATAAGGCAAAAAACATCCCACTTATACACTAGCTTAAACTGAAGAATTTGTAATAAAAAAATAATTATACAAAAAATAATTTAACATGATAAGAAAACAACTGAATGTAAGAGCTAATAAGATAAAGACACTAAAATTAATGAAAAATAATTAAATTGAAATATAATATTTATATAATAATATTAATAAAAGAATTTTTTATAAAAAAGGTTTTTAAAGAATGAAATTTGTTATTCCTAAAAGTCGAATGTCTGCAGTAAAGCGTCGAAACTGGAAAGTGGAATGTTTGCAGGAAGGAGTCGGAATTGGAACATGGAAAGTCTGCTAGAAAGAGCCGAAGGCTTTTATGTGATCTTGTCTTTGGAAACTTGATACAGTTTCGACTTTTCCCAGGCATTCCACTTTCCAGTTTTGGCTCCTTCCTGCAGACTACTGGAAAATGGAACGTCTGCTCAAAAAAGTAGAAACTGGAAAGTGGAATGATTGCGGAAACGAGTCGAAATTGGAAAGTGGAAGAATATGTGCTTGAAAGAGGCGAATGTTTCTATGTCATCTTGTCTTAGGAAACTTGATACAGCTTCGAGCTTTCCAGAAGTCATTCCAGTTTCGACGCTCTTCTGCACAGATTCCACTTTCCAGTTTCGATCCGTTCCTGCAAACAACTGGAAAATAGACTTTCTGCTGGAAAGAATCAAAACTGGAAAGTGAAATGTCTGTTGGAAAGATGCGAAACTGTACCAAGTTACTCAAGGCAAAATAACATAGAAGCTGGCAGAAAATCAAGCGTCTGTTCACTCCGCTTCTCAATCTGTTCCAGAAATAAGTGTGCTCCTTTAGGTAGAATTTCCACGCAAAATACCAGAATTTACCACTGATTTCCATGAAAAGCGAAACCAGAAATAATTTAAAATAAATAGAAAACAAGCCCAGATATGGGATTAAAGAGGATCAGCAGATCAAACATCTGTGAAAGAAGCACAAAGACATCTGAAGTCGCCTTGCAATAAAAATTGTATTAGTAAAATTATAGATCTATAATAAAACCCATCTGGAATTGGAGGAACATTAAAAGAATATGTAAGGCAATTAAGGGAACAAGTATGTCAAAATATTTATATGACCTTAAGTGTCGGCTTAGTTATAAATTCCCTGTCAACAGGTGGTCCAGGCTCGTGGTACTGTACCCGAAGGACTCAAGCACGGTAGCACAATCTGCACATGCCGCACACTTGCGTACAGTCAATACAAAAAGCTATGCGGCAAGGACGATCGTTGGGTGAAAGAACATATATATGTAGAAAGACAACTGCGCTTCGCGCTAACTGATCAATTAACCAAGCGGCGATCCTTTTTGGGCCGGGTACAGGGACCTAACCTAATTGCACTTCTGCGAATTTATGCCGCGACACAGCTGCGCGTTTTTACCCAGAATGTGCGGGATTAATCCGTTTATGGCCACGGATTAAGTTGCAAAATTTTTCAACGAAGGTCAACTGCGATTTCCAGGGAAAGCGCCGACTAAGCACAGGTAAATCTAGGTAAGAGCCGATAAGCCGAACTCAGGTACATGCACGTCTGGGGTATATAAGATCGGGCTGCGAACGTATCGAACATCAGTCTGCTTTCGAGTGTCAGTGTGTAAGGATCCGGCGAAAAGAAGAAGCCCAATATAACAAATATTATATGGTAAACTTTGTTCAGTTTTGCCAGGCTCTTTTTGTGCGCATCACTGGGTGAAGTTTGTCGTATAATCGCAAAAAGAACAGCAAAAAAAATAATAATATTAATATATAATAATATCAGGATCTCATAGCTCTGCTTTTGGGATGCATTTTGTGCGGTTATGTCTGCCTCCAAAACCCATCACTGGGCAAAGTGTGTCTCAAAATTGTGGCTACTAGAGAAAAAACCGCAGCTCAGATATTACAGTGTTCCGGTGTGACAGTGTTCCAGTGTTTCAGTTCCAATATTCCATTATTTTAAAATTAAATGGCGATTGTCGGTATGGTCGCTTTTTTAAACAATACACCATTATCTATATAAAGTGACTAGACCGAACACTCGTGCTATAATTTTAAAATGTTCAACGTATATAAAAATCACAAGTTCTCGATTTGAAATCCGGCGCAATTTATATATATCTATATCGTATAGAGGTTGCAATTAGTTTCTTTGGTCGTCCAGCCTTAGGTGATTTCTCTGATCATAAAGCTAGACAACCATTGAAGTTCGTTGTGGCATAAGCAGCGGCTAAAGCCAACTATATATCTGACTACATATATCTGATATTTTCGTATACTACATATTGGGCCATGCGCTAAAAGGAACGATCGTTGTGATATGCGTTCGTCAACCGTTACATATCACAGTGATTTTCCTTTATAGCGCGTGCAGCCCGTCAATCAACTCGAAATACGATCTATATCCATGTCTATATAGACACAAAGCTACATCGCGCAGTTATCTGTTTATAGCCTTTAAAGTAGAGAGAATAGACGCTGTGCTGTATGTTTTGCGTATTGTCTATATCACAGTGGCTGTTCTTTTTGTACCTGAAGCGCCGTACAGCATTATTTCCTTAAATTGTGAAAGTTTAATAGATATTTGGTGACAATTCTTTATGTGCTATGTTTAACCGCAGGGAACTGCTGCTGCTGATATACTGTATATATTATATCGATTCCATATCACAGTGGCTGTTCTTTTTGGTTGCATCGCAATTTACAACAATTTGTCTCCTGAAATTACCTTTATTATTAACTAAGGTGTGCAATTCGTTCAGTTTAATGGCGCTCGTCAATTGTTTAAAAGGAAGGGAACGTTCGCTGTTGATGTAGTCGACTTTTATACTCTTTATATCACAGTGGCTGTTCTTTTTTGTTTAGCAATTTGTCAACTTAATTCTTCAACAAATATTTAATTAAATAAAACAAAATGTTTTATATCATTTTATTTTTTGTATCAACATTTTGTTAACTTTTAATAAATAAAACAATATTAAAATGTATTTAAAAATGATTTCGTTTTCCTTACACAATTTAGCAACTTTATCAATAAAACAATTGTTAATAAGAATAAGAATTAATAATTATTAAAATATAATTTTCTTGTTTTTTCAATATTAAACAAAATAAATATTCTTATTTGTTTAACAATTAGTCAACTTATTTTATTAAATAATATTTAATACAAATAATAAAATATTTATAAAACGTTTTTTCAACATTGGTAATAAATATAAGAAATGAATAATTAATAAATATTTACGTATTTTTTTCTGTTTTGTTGGCCAATTGATCATAAAATAACAGGTAATACAAATAAAAAATAATAATTATAATTAGATAAATTAAATAAGAAAGTAAATAAATGAAAGCGATATAAATAAAATAAACTTTATTTTCAAATAATAGTTAAACTAAATATAAATATTTAAGTAATAAATATTTAAATTATATATTCTCTTTTGCCTTAAAACTTTTAATTTTTTAAATTAAATAATAGTCATTACACATATGCTATTGTTCAAAATTTTTGCATGTTTATTATAGCATTTACGAATATACATTTAGATATTAATAAACGAATCAACATTATAAGTTTCGCTTTTATTTATATTCGACGCATTCTGTCAATTTCGGTAATAAATAAATTAAATGAAAATAATAAAACATTTTTTTTTTAGTTTTCAATCTTATAATTAACAAAGCTATAATTATTTAAAATAAAAAGGAAAAACTAAAAATTTGCTGTTGAATATTATTAAAGTTCGATTACTTTTCAAATCGATATTTATATTAATTTATAAATAAATATAATAAACAAACTGCTTACATAAATTGTTAAAATAATACATTTAACATAAATATTAAAGATTAAAAAATATTTTATTTTTGAAACATGTAGTTTATTATTTAAGGCCATGCGGAAATATTTTGGTATTCGACAATAAAATTGGAAAACAATATTTTATATATCAAAGCCTTTGCGCTTAATAATAAAATAAACAATAAAATTATAATAATGAATAAAAACTAGAATAAAAACAAACTCTTAACAATACAATCTTGAGTTAATAGGCATATTTCCACGCACATTGAAAAACTTGCGACGAGTCGTTTTTTTTTATAGTGGAACATTTTATTCGAACTTCCGGCGCTTAGTTTCCTTTTCCTATTCCTATTCCGTTAGCCAGACACAATGTGGCAAGGCACGTGTAGCCATGTGGCATGCATTGGCGGCATGCAACAATGGCGTCGACATTGCCAGCCATTATATGCAGCTATGTGCGTTTGTGTGTGTGTGTAAGTGTGGCACACAGGTAGCTGGCTGTCAATGAATGTCATTTTACTTGGAAACGCCCCCAAACGCCGCAAATGCCACACTTTGTTGCCAAACACGTTCACGCCGCTTTTTTCGTGGCATTTGTGACAGTTGCAATGCCAATTGGACAGTTGAAAACCTTTCAGAGATTGTTAAAGAAATTTAAGATATTGTTAGCTATACAAGTTTTTTATTAATCGCATTTAATTTGGAATAAAATCTACATTTATATATATTAGCTCGAATCTTAAGAGCTAGGAATCTTACAGTCTAAGGGAAAATCAACAGCATCAACACCAATTGTAAGCCTGTGTGGCTTTGCTGTTTGAGCGTTGAACTAACAAGCGGAGAATTCGCTGGCTCAAATTGAACATTAATTTTTTTAAAGCTGGGAAGCTTAATTCTAAGTCCTATTTGGGGAAACTAACAAGCGATGTAGTCGCTGGCTCAAATTTAAAATCTATCAACATCAATCGTAATCCTTCCTGGCTTAGCTGTTTGAGCGTTGAACTAACAATTGGAGAAGTCGCTGGTTGAAATTTAACATTCATCAACACTAATTGAACAAACAAGCAGAGTAGTCGCTGGCTAAAATGTAACATTATTTTATTTCTTAATTTCTTAACACTTGCATTTTTATATAACTTGACATTATAATTTTTCTGCATTTTTTTTAAAACATTTACAATTTATCTGGGATAAATATACTATATAATTATTAGAAATTTTTGAAACATATTTTTGGTTTAGTTTTTGCTTCTTTTCTGCAATATATTTCCTATTGAAACTGGAGAAACCTGCTGAAATTCGTAGTGCCTCATTCTACTTTGCTAGCAAAGCGATACAAATAATTCTCGACACGGATCTTGGCGCGCAGCTCCTTGCGTGAGGTGGACTCGGTGGCGGCGGTGGTGCCGTTGTGATCGTGAAAGAAACCACAATAGCGGGCGGGCACAAACTGTTTGATATGCTGGCGTTTGCGATAGCGCTCCACGACACTCAGGCTGCATTGCTTAATGTTGCCCATCTCCTCGTGCATGCACTTGCGGCACATATCCTTGTCGGTGGCAAAGGAGTGGAAATAATCGCCCTTGGGACGCTCATGACAGACCAGACACTGGGCCACATTGGTGGGGCCGCAGAAGACAGCCACCGCGGGCCAGATAATGCGACGGGTGCCAAAAGCGGTTTCCATTTTCCAATATGGATATTTGTTGTGGATCGAGTAGGTGGAGGCACTGCGTCGGGCAGGAACAATTGTCTATCCATTGGGCATTTTGTTTTTGGCTATCACTGACTTACCCGGGCGTTGCCCATTTGGGCTCCGGCACCACCTGCTTATCAAAGGTGTAGCCAGCGCGGAGTATCCAAGGTGTTGGCTCATAGGCGCCCATGGGCGGAACAATCTTCTCCCGGACGATGGGCAGGCGGGGCATCTTGTTGGCCAGAGCAGAGAAGCCAGCATTGGAGGGATACTGCAAGAGTTTATTTGAGAAGAAATAAAGAGAGAGAGAGAGAGAAAGGGCGAGAGACATATAGAAATATGCATACGGGTAGATAGAAGACAAGAGGGACCCAGTCAGATATGCAAAAGCAGAGAAAGAAAAAAAAATAGTCGAGAAGAAAGAAAAGAAAAAATATAGAATAAAGGAATGAGAGAGAAAACGGACATGGAAAAGGAAAGTAAAGCAAAACGAACGTAAACGAAAAGAAGGGATATCTTCGGCACGCCGAAGATTTAATACCCTTGCAGACCCAACCTTTTCATAATGCTCATAGTGATTTGCCCGTATCTAAGAAGCATAGGGAAAATGGTTAATGCCGAGTATGGTTAAGATATCTTAAAAAACAAAGAAGTTTTCCATACAACAATTTTATTTTCGACTGATTGTTCCTATGACAGCTATATGATAATAGTAGTCCGATATAAAAAAGATTTTGCATAGCAAAACTAATAAATACCGATTTTGGTCAAGATATCGTGAAAAAACCAAAAAAAATGTCCATAACACAACTTAATTTTCGACCGATCGTTCCTAAGGCAAATATATGATATAGTGGTCCGATCTTAATAGGATTTTGTATATATATGAGGAGCATAGTAAAACTAATAAATGCCGAGTTTGGTCAAGATATTTAAATAAACAAAAATAATTCATACAAGAATATACTTTTCGACCGATCGTTCCTATGACAGCTATATGATATAGTGGTCCGATCCAGATGGTTCCGACATATGTACTGCGTGCAACAGAAAGAGGCACTTTTGCAAAGTTTCATAAAGATAGCTTTAAAACTGAGAGACTAGTTCGCATAGAAACAGACAGACGCACAGACGGACATGGCTACATCGACGCGGCTGTTGATACTGATTAAGAATATATATACTTTATGGGGTCGGAGATGTCTCCTTCTATGCGTTACACATTTCACGACAAAACTATAATACCCTATGCAAGGGTATAACAAATTTAAAAGAAAGTGAAAGAAAAAGAGAGGAGCACAAGAGGACTGATATGCAGGAGATAAAAAAGAGTCTGAAGTAAAAGAAAGAAATAGGAAGATGGAAGGTAGAAGAGAGTAAAGCGAACTAAGAAAATATTTTGAAGAAATAAAGAAAAGTAACAGAAAGAGAGGCAACTGAAAGCCGTAACCAAGAAAGAGAAATTTCTGTTTACCAATTACATTCGCTGCACTTACCTTGAAGCCAATAGGCTTGGAGCAGTCGTAATCAAGCGGACTGGGTTGTTCGCGTACCTCCGGCAGATTGGATCTCATGAAGCTGTTCAGGAAGGGTCCATTGACAGGCATCACCTCGCGATCCATGGTCGTGCCAAAGGCCACCTTGGGCACCACAGGCGGATTGACCACATATTCAAAGCCTGTTGAGGAAAGAGAACAATTTGATTGAAACTTTAGTATGGAATGTCAAGGAATGCCACCTCTTGCCCGGCAGCGCGCCAAGATCAGGCGCGTCTCGGAACGCTGACGACGCAGCTGCTCCCGTTCCTGGGCGTTTGGCTGGCGTGCACGCATCCTGGGTCGCCGTCGCTGCTAGACTGAACTTGAGGCGGCGAACTGACAAATTGATGGACCTGTCGATGGCTGACTGAAAGCCGGGTAACGTGCCCTGACTGACGGCAAAGGGCATGGCACGCATGGCACGCACCTGCCCCAATACCAATCTGTGCACCTGCTATCAATTCAAAATCAATATGACAAACGTGTTTCCACAGGCGACGCGGCATTAGCCAAAAGGAGTTTTGATTCCCCCCAGTCTAGACAGCGTTCTATTTGCTGAACTTTGACCCAGTTCTCTCTGATTTATAGCTCTAATCACTTTATGTGCATATTACTTTTATGTGGTTCTAAAAAAAGTGAGTTTGACTTTGATATTGATGGCCATATTTGGAAATTGATATATCAAAGTGTATGTATAGGAAATGGGAAGAACGTACTTAAGATATCTACATATTTCTAAGTGGGTTTTCTATGGAAATATAGGGCGCAAGGACAAAGACATAGCTAAGATTAACTGAGGCATCTTACGATTGAGAATGTTTTTGAACTTATTTCGAACTAATTATAGAGTTAAGAACAGAGCTTATTATCAAATAGGTTAGGATTGACAATGTTCCCAACTATATTCGAGCTATTTTCGAACTAAATAAACAGTTAAGAGCAGAGCTTATTACTCATTTTCTGATGAACTTTACTAAATTCAACGAACCAGAAAAGAAGGAATATAAATCTTTAAGAAAAAGAAAGACACGGGCTGAGGATTGACTAATCGAAAACTAACCATAGTAACTCGGGAACAACATAAGCGAACACGCGCAAATCTGTTATCCATGTTCTTTTAAAAAATATTAAATGATATGTATTGTTAACATTTGAGTATAACAAGCCGAACAAATTTATATTAAGGAAAATAAATGTCATACTAATTGCAATATTTATTTGAGTATCTGCATTATATGGCTTACTCACCCTCCATGATCAGTCTCTGAATAAAAGTACTTAAAATTTCTGAAAACAATAATAATAATAATAATAACACGCGACGTTTTGTCTTCGGGGCAATTGACTAAAATAAACAATTTGAACAAATTGTGCAAAATGACAGGCAGAGTCGTAGACATATTTACAAAAGGCATGCTGCCAACAGAAATTTGCTTGGGAAATAGTTGAGCAAACATTGGAAATGTGGCATGCAACAGGCGCAGTCGGATGGCAGAATAATGCGTTGCATTTAAATTCAGATGTCGAGTCGGATATACGAGCCTAAGATACACACAAGGAAACTTTTAAATGGCTTTTCCAGCAATTTTCCAAGTGGGTTGCCCGGATGGCTGGGGCTGGGCCGGGGGGCTGGTTAAGTTGGGCTCGCTGCAGCAACCGCAAAAGTGTGCACCTACAAAATGGCAGAATGGCTGCATGACATTAATGCCAGTTAACCCCAAACGTTGTCCTCGTCGTCGACGTCGTCGTCGTCGGCGGCGTCGTCGTCAGCTGCAGCTATGGCTTTGGGTTTTTCGGCAGCAACCAGCTCCTGCCAACCGCACCGTCCCCTTCCCCCATTTACCCTTTTTGGCCAACGCTCACGCACATGAATGCTAATAGCGCAGGCGGTGGCAGAGACGGAGGCAGAGGCAGATGCACTGACAGGCAGCACGCAGAATTGCACAACCGCACTGCAGCCACAGAAGCCATGCAATGGCCCCGCCCACCTGCCTACGCAAACCGCCCACGCGCACAGTAGCCTCACACTGTCGAATATGCTAACCTATGCAATTATTCAAAGAGTATTGAGTAGTTTACCTAATTGATTAATTATATTTAAAAACTGATTAAAAGCACGGCAGCGCGTAGTTGTAATCGATTATAGCTGTGTGTGGTGTGGGCTGCATTAAGCATGGATCAGCGCGCTGGCAGAGAGCGTTTATCCAAAGAAAGAGAGAGATAGAGAGAGTTGCAGATAATTAATTTGCTCACGCTATGGGCGCAGCTGATGCTTTAATTTCCGTTATATTGTTTTGGCTGCAGCCTGCAGAGCGCCAAATTTGTGTGTGCATATGTGCGCGTGAGCGGGAGAGCTGCTTCAATCGTGCGCTGCAGTCAAGCTATTGATAAAGATGCTTATGATCTCGTTCTCTATGGTGAGAGCGGGAGAGTTATCTTAGAAGTGTCTAGCTCTAAGCTGTTGTAGTATTAGAGTGTATTCCGGCTTAGCGTAGGCGTGAGATAATTGCATCGATTTAGTCTGTGCGCGTCCGTCGTCTTAATCGGTTGCGCTCGCCGCGCTTGTTTGTAAAATAGTTGTTATCTGCAATTAATTAACTACCGGAAATTAAATGTGTGCGTTCGTGTCGCGAGTGTTTGTTGTCTACAATTTATCAATCTTCCTTTCGAGTTGCTTGATTTTGCGTGCAGAGTTTTTTTCGCATAGGCAAAAAAGGGCGCGCAGTTGTGCTCGAGCCACAGCAGAGCTTGATAAGTAACGGAATGAAGAAAAAGCTGCGGCAGTAAAGGGTAAGTCTATTTTAACGGTGAAACTGTTTTTATTTATGAAATTGAAACTGTTTCATATGCAAATATATTAAGCTAGCCGCTTTTTAAATTGGGAGATATCTTAAAAATATATTATAAAAGTTAATTAAGTTTACAAGTTATTTGTAAAGATTGTGTACCACTGTGCAGCAACAGCGTGATGTGAGCTGCTTAATTCGTGCAAATAAAATGATTGTGCAACATATGTAACTGGTTCGCTTGTGGGTCTATTATTCCAAGTACAGTCACACACAGTAAGTCCTTGCATATGGGCGCACTTAGGGCTCAAAGCCGCTGCTTGGGGTGGACCAAAACCCAAACCCAACGCCAACCCCAATCCTCCCCCGTCCTTAATATAGCTGTATTCTGTTGCACGCTCGCCGCAAACTTGCAATGCAATTAAATTGTAATTTCACATTATTTAAGTGTTTTGCTGTGTAACATTTTGGTTAGCGAAAATGTGGCAACGGGTTTTTGGTAGACGGCAGGGGGAGGGGGGGGGAAGAATGCTGGTCTGAAAGTTCGTTTATTATGTCAACAATTAGTGTAATGCAAATTAAACTGTTGCCATTTGTCATAATAATTTAAATACAATGAAGCTAGCAAGTTAATTATTTTTTAGATAATGTTAAAAATTTTAATTCTCTCTTGGAAAATTGTGGAAAATTATTTACTTAGACTTTGTATGTGGCAGACCACAAATTATGCTTCAGCACGTATTTAAAAGATAAAGTGTTTTTGTTTAAAGAGACTTATTGCAGTTTTATAGTTATTATACACTTTAAGGGTATTCTTAGGGTAACACGGAAAATGTTATACCTTATATGGTCGGTTTCAGGCGAGCAGCATGGGTTGATAAAGCTTTATTATGGCTCTCCAGATTTATTATGTTTTGAAAATATTTAACTATTAAAAAAAAAATTATATATTAGATCTACATTGAATTACTTTAAAATGTATCTTAACCAAATGGTTACGAGGGAATTGAATCTCTCTCACCCTCTCATTCTCTTTCTCTCGTTTTTTTTCTCTGCCTCTACCTGTCCCTTTCTCTATTATAAAAGAGATTGTGATCAGTCTACGAGAAACACCTCAACACCAACATATTTAAGGGCATTACATTTTCGCCACATACCAAAATTTCCATTCCTACGGCTTGTAAATTGTTTTTGCAGGCAGTCTATAAAAAATAAAAACAGCTCAAATATTCAAATCAGTTTTTGGGAATTGCCAGAAAACTTCATGCAAGCCAAGTGGCATGTCCTACACAAGCAATTACAGCAACAATGGGGCGAGCAAATAAAAAAGCTTCAGCTTCAGTTGTGGCTTTTCAATTTTGGCCAGGACAACATGGCCAAGGCAGGACATGGCAGCATCCAAAACGTGGCCATAAACGTGCAATTCGCATGCAAAGCACAAAAACTTTGGGCCAACAGTGGGTGGACACCAGTTGGAGGGGCGGAAGTGCCAAGCAGCATCCTGGCAGCAGCAGCAACAAGGACATTGCTGCTCCTCTTGTTTTTGGGCGGCTGCTGTGCCTTTTGGCTAACGCAAAATTTGCTTCACAATAAAAACAAAACAATGACAGCTCACAAAACAGTTTAAGTCTATTTTGGGCCGGAAGTGCCGCTTATTACGCAGGATGTGGTTAACCGGAAATGAAACGAAATAAGCCAAGTGCGACGCACTTCCACCTCTTTTCTCTCGGTATGTGCATGTGTATCTGTATGTGTGTCTGTGTTTGTGTTTGTATTTGTGCCTGAGCTTAAGTGTGTGTGCCCAGAAGTGAAGTGCATGGCAAACTAATTAAACATGCGCTTTAAGCTTATCGACTTTTGCATTCAATATCGCAATGCACTTTCGGCAGCCATTTAAATTCCTATTAACACTGTGCTACAAATTTATACACATGTCTTTTGAGTAAACATACAAAGTTGTATGACAAATAGTTGTAAGGAGCATGTTTTACTCTAAAAAATATTAAGACCTATCTTACTTAGAAGCGCATGCTCTTTAAACAATCTCCTTTTTCATGTTGCACAGTGTAATTTTGCAATCTAATGCCTTTTGGGTAAGCACAAACAAACGAAGAACGTTGAAATCAAATTACAAGATGCTTCTGCCATTTGCCACATGCACTCAAATAGCATCCACCGAAGTCCGAAGTCCCGGCCCCACTCTTGGCTGACCCAAATGCCATGCGTCTGCAATATGTGTGTGTGTGTGTGTGGCATTGCAGGACAGCTAATCATGCTAATAAACACCAAGTTGCAATTGGCCAACTGGCAGTTGGCAGCCAGCAACTGGCAACCGGCGAGTGGCAACTGGCAACTGCCACAAAAAGCATTACATACTTACGGGCAACCATTCGCTGCCTTTTGCTGCAGCATTTTGCATTCAACGTGCGCTGCTGCTGCGGTTGTTGCTGTTCCGGCTGCGAGTTTTTGCTGCAAATCATACAAAATTGCATTGATTATGCACTTGGCAGTCAATTGTGCCTTGGCCATCGCCATTACCAATTGGGCGCGATTTCGAGTGGTCCATTAAAAGTC